GCTCTCTCGTTGGCACCAGCACGAGCACTACAGGACCATCACCATGCTTCAACGGCGCTTGGGCGTTCACGTGTATCTGTAGACGACTACCCCCAACAGAGACCCGAGCCAGGACGAGACTCACAATAGCCGGTAGCATAAAGGCAACCGTCTTTCCGCTGCCAGTCTGCGCTACACCAACCTGAAGGGCAACAAAGTCGATCGGTCTCGTCAAGTATAGTATGGAGCTGACCATGTCCCTGCCAGAGAGGGCCACCGGCCAGCCGATCTTCTGGATGTTGGTGGGCTCAGTATAGCCTGCTTTCTCGAACTCCTTCATCAGGACCTCAGGGAACTGGCCCTGCTCGAAAGTTCTAATTGGCTTGGGGATAGGAGGCGTTCCTTGGACCTGAACATAGCAGCACTATGAAAACTCCTCAATAGCACCCTCCGAGCTCTCACCGTGATGTCGGCCTCGGCCAGGAAGGCAGCACAGTCCTCATCAGTGAACGCTGCTACATTCGGATGCTCCTTGTAAAAATTCTTAGTGAATGGCGTCAACGCCTCACCCTGAATGACCAGTACAAAGACTACTGTTAGAGAAAGGGACCTACCTGCCAGTTTATAGGCTGTAGGCCACTACCAGCAAATGCCTCGGTGTCACTAACACCATTTCCACGAGAGTAAGCTGAGGAGCAAACAGTCATAGCATCTCGATGGGCTACTCCTACCTCCACCACGTCCCCTGTCACGCCTGTCGAATTCATAAGCATCAGAGGATCTACTCTCAGCACCATCGAATCTACTCGTGCTACGCGAATCTGATCTCGCGTTGCTGAACCAGTCGTCCTGGCCAGCGGTCTCGTTACGGGAAGGGACCTTAGGGGTCTGAGAGACGAGGCTTGGAAGGTTGAGCAGTGGTACCTACCGGTGGTGGTGGAGGAGGAGGACGCTTCATAGTGACCGTGGCAGCAGCAGAGGTGCAGGAACGTAGCTGAGCCCCGAAGGTTGAGGCGATACGACCAAGAACAGCAGGGGCCCATGGGGTACTCAATCGCAGGGTAGATATCATCTTTACTAGGAGGTGTGAGCTGAATAGAAACAAAACCAATGAGGCTAACAAGAAGTACAGTACCAAGAATGCACAAGCCATAACACAACACATGGCCATCTCGATAAGTATACCAGACCCTTCAGTCAGGAGCAGGGCCGTCACACTCAATGACAATATGTTGGCCATTCTCAGGGCACTCCACCGGGATGCCCAGTCTGAACTCGATCAACTCTTGCAATGCCTTCATCCTCTTATACTCAGAGTGCAATAGTATCACCCTCCTTGCTGGCCTTAGACCTGCAATCATCTGACAAGCACCATAGGAGTCTGTATGGTATGTCATTGGTATGTAGTACGGCTTGCATTGTATACTAACTTTACGCCCGTCACCAAAGTTGACCACAGGAGACCACTTAGACCGCTTCTTAGGGGGCTTGCCACCTTCGTTCTTCCTTCGCTTCTCAGCTTGAGAGGCCACCATGATGAGCTCGTTACCAACAGTTCCCTTACGACAGTATCCTGTCAAAACAAACTGCGCATGAGGGTTGCCACTTTCCCTATTGAAAAAGGCCAGACTTGAACCACTCTCCATCATCGCTGCGCCACAAAATACAACACTAATACAATTGGGTGAAAACACGAAGTTCTCGTCGATGAGCTCAACCCGAGCAGCAGTGGTGACAGCCGCCACCGCGCCCATTACACTCGTGTCACCCTCAGCAAGCCCCAAGCTGAGACGTCGATAATACTCATTGCACATGTACGTGACCGGACTAAGGGTATAAAAGTGTAAATCCGGCACTGAAGGCAGGCCAAAGTTATCGGCCAAGCGTTTATTCTTCTGATTGAAATCGTCGGGGAGATGGTATGTCTTGGACATGGCCCCAGCCCGAGTAGACAGAGACTCTAGCAGGTCCTTATTAAGGACTTCCCGCTTGTAGTAAGCCAATAACATCTGGGCCATCTCTGACACTCTGCTAGTTGCGAACACTGGCATGACCGTAATCAACGGTGGCACATCTGCCGAGCCCATGTAGTCACGAAGGCGCTCTCGACCACATACAATGTTGCATAGACGTGCCTCTTTAGAGCGGCTGTTCATGTGAACTGAACTCCCAAAAGTGGCCTCAGAAATGACAACATCAATGGTCTTCCCTGTCAATGGTAACTGCCTCGTCAGCAAGTTGGCTGCAGGCATTGTGAATTCAGCTTGGGTGCTAAAGTCGCCAGTATAGAACAGTGTCAAGCCTTCGTACTCTATCATGAACATGAGAGCCCCCACCACATGCCCTGCAGGGTAAGCTGTCACCACCGCGCCGCAGGTCAGCGTTCGCTGAGACCCCGGCGCCATGACCAGCGCCTTCTCGAAGCAAGATTCGATGTGGCAGGGATAATACGGCGGAGGACTCTGTTCCTTAGCATAGTCCCTCAACAGCATTGGCGCCGTCAACTTGGTCATCAACGACATGACAATCTCGGGCGATCTCCGCTGGCCGCTCATTAGGACCTCAGTGAGGTAGGGAAGAGCCCCAGTGTGATCCAGATGGAAATGGGTAACGAGTACCGCGTCAAGTGGTAACATACCAGTCTTACTGTTGTCAGGCCACAGACGATCCAGCATGGGGACGCGGTGTCGGTGCTTAGCCAAAGACTGGCGAATAACAGACCGTAGCAGTTGCTGTGGGGTGGTTGCCGAGGAGTCCTCTACACTGTCAGAGTCATCATCATCAGCATGCTCTGCCACAACACTATGCTGCTTTTCATCCTCATGATGAGCAGGGTCACCACAAGACACGTTGGCTCCACAGTCGAGAAGGATACGCACCCGAGGCTTGCAAGAGGAGGCCGGTGGGACGAAGGTTACCAGTACGCATGATCGACCCACGCTTCTACCAGCACCTAGGACGTCAACCTCAATGCGCCCACGAGAGCAGGCTGTTGTAGAGGGCTTAGCACTCATGTTGATGGGGGAACATTTTCCTGCAACAAGACTTGCTATATTCTGGCAGGCTAAACTAACGCAACGTGGAGGTGACAAACAAGAGCGATGCTATTGTTACATGAACAATCAACATGAACAATGACACAACCAGCGGAGGTGATCATCAGCCCAGAGCCGCAAAATGCTGCAAACGAGAGACAGCTAATTTCGGCGCGGCCTAAATCCTGTGCGCTCGGCGAGCTGAGTCGGCCAGAAAGCCAGCCGATACTGTGGAGAAGTTGCGGTCAAGCTCGACCTCCGTCGGATCTTAGCATCGTCCATATACCCGCAACTGACTTTCAATATCCTCCTCCACAACCGGTCTACCTTCCTATCTCGACACGATCGCCATCGTCCCCGCTGAGAATGATAGTCATAGCTTTGAAACACGGAGAAACCGATCGAGCTGCACAGTGGGGATAGGCCCCCTTCTTCAACTCAACAACTGGGCTCCCGTAGGAACAACGAACACACTCTTAAGAGAAACAACGCAGTTTGTAAGGAATTTCCCCACATCACTCGATGATAGTAGTCTCCTCAATAACAACATCACCAGGAATGACCTCCTCTTCCTCCTCCACAACAACAACCTACAACAATACGCAAGCATGATAACACTCAAGATGACAGCATCCCTACATCTGGCTGCTCGTAAACGTCATTAGTAACGAGAGTCTCAACGCTTGTCTCGGGCACTTGATGGACCACTCGTATTGTCTGAGGCGAACATTCTGATAGAAAAACAGAAACTCAGCCAAGTTTACTTCTCCAGGCTGTACACCATCATCGGTGATGATGGTCTCTTCCTTGATAACTTCAGTTGGAAGGCCCTCCTCAATGACTGTCGTTTCCTCTACAACATCGGGGATCTCCTCCACTACCTGTAGGAGATTTCCACGAGAAGTCCTATAACTGACAGGAAGTGGTCTACCTCTGTCTCGTAGGGAATATAATAAGACATAACTAATGGATGGTTACAAAAAACTAAGGTGACCAGGACTGACGATGGTCCCAGGGGGCCCGGCGACCACTCGAAACCTTACCAGAATGAAACACAGTACTGCCAACAGACACTGTGGAGGAAGAAATGTTAGCAATGAGAACAAGGCCGAGTACAAACACGCAATCAAGGTCGATAGATATTGTGAGTGTATTGGGACCCAGCAGGACCACTAGGATACGCCTGATACTGCT